ATTTTGTTGTATTTTTTTTTACTCTTTGTTGGGATTCATTTGCATATATGCTTAATTTCTTAATTATCTTCTCATATTATTCATTTTTAGTATATCAAAATGGAAATGATGTATGTGTGTTGACACTTAAAGATTGTTGAATGTTTGTGTTCATTATAAGATGTTTGTTTGAATCTTTAGAACTTTTGACATAGAAGGCCACATCCTTTCTGAAGAAGATTCCTTATTCTTCACTGTAGCTGCTTGCATTTTAATGCTGATGTGGTCCTTCAAAGCAGTTTGCATGGGAGCGCCTGCAAATAACTTTTGGAAAACAGTCCCACCTTGATTCTGATTTGTAAATAAAGATGCCAGGATCTATTAGCTGGGGAGAAAAGACAGAGTCTGGATTTAAGGATTCCTAGACTTGGGACCATGAGCAGGAGGACAAAAGAGATCTGCCATTCCAGGATTCTGTTGAAAGAGGGGAGACATGAGGTAGAAAAACCAAGCAGAGTACCTTGGGCTCTGGACCAAGAAAGTGTGGCCCAGATCTCTGACTAATTTAAGTTAAGAGCAGTCAAGATGGAACATAGAAATTAGTAAATAGTAACTCAGAATTATCGGTGGGAAGTAGATTCTAGAAGCATGCAGGTTAGTAAGTTGCCCAGCTATTGTGCTGCTTAGAACATATTAAAATGTCAAAATTCTGTATGTGATTTTTATTCTGGAACATAAACCATTAAGGGTTAGCAACCCCTCCTGGGATTTATTTATAGGTATTAATTCTACACTTCATGATTTCTTGTTCTTTTTTTTCCCCAAATGACTCAGTCTAGAAATTTTGGTACCACATTGAGTAGAAATTTCAAAAGATTTATCACTGTAATCTTTATCCTAGAGTTAGTGTTGGATGAAATCTTTTCCTTGGTCCTTATGTTACATATTATCCTCATTCTGTCTTATGATTTTGCATCCCATTTATAATGGTGTTTTCAGAATTACCATTCTTTTTTATTTGCAGCACACTTTCTTCAGCACATTTAAAGACAATTATTATCAATCAATCATTTATTGTTAAATCATATCACATTTCAGGCTGTAAGCAGCCAAGGATATGAATATCCCACCCTGAATCTACACAGAAAAGGCTAAGGACCAACTATTTATTCTTTTTCCATTTTTTGTGTATGTGTATGCCTGCATGTAATTGTTGTATATGTACTTGCTTTTTGTGTGCTTGTGGGATATATATATATATATGTATATATATATATATATATATATATATATATGTGTGTGTGTGTGTGTGTGTATGTATGTATGTATATGTGTGTGTGTGTTTATACATGTGTATACACATGTGCATGCAGGTACACATTGAAATATATGTCAATGTATGTGGAAGCTGTATATGTATCTGTGTCTCTAGGTAATTAGTTACAAAATGCTATAACCCAATATTATATGGCTCAAGAAAACACAGAGCGTGTTGTATGAACTTTAATGAGAACTGAAACACTTCATGATAATTCTGTAATTATATTTTGTAACAGGCATAGTGATCAAGCAACCCTTTGTTTGTTAAATATTAGCCCTTGTTCATATAGCCCAGTTATTAGAAAAAGGTGTAAGAGCTACATTGCAGTTAATGTCTCCTACAGAAAGGTGGGTACAGATAGGGGACTGGGAGCACTTTACTTGTAACTGGGAGTTAGAAAAGGTTTCCATAGAAACAGTGGCTAACAGAAAAGAATGTAGATGGTTTTCATGACCTCAAAAGGTAGGTCTTACTGCCAGTAAGAGTCCACCCATTTATAGCCTTTTAAATTGGATTTTGGGAAAAATATCAGAAATCCTCTGAAGACAACCCACGCTACCCACATCATATTGGTCCACCATAATAGCTGATAGCTGAATTAACCAGAATAGTTCATTATTCTTTGAATAAATAACCAGCTTGACCTGAGGAAGGCCAGACACATCCATCCTCTGAAAGTGACAAATGTTGTACCTCAAGTTATTTTTGGAAGCTACTATGGACATTTAGTGCTTCAAACTAAGGACTGCAAAAATGGACATTATCTTGCTCTTTAAAAAAATATCCAGCCAGGCAGTGGTGGTGCATGCATTTAATCCCAGCACTTGGGAGGCAGAAGCAGGCAGATTTCTATGTTCAAGGCCAGCCTGGTCTGCAGAGTGAGTTCCAGGAAAGCCAGGACTACACAGAGAAACCCTGCCTTGAAAAACCAAAGAGGAAAAAAAAGAAAAAGAAAAAAGAAAAAATATCCAATTCTATTGTATCTTAAAAAGACATTGTCTTAGCCAGGGATAATGGCACATACCTTTAATCCTAGCACTCAGGAGGCAAAAGTAGGTGGATTTCTGTGAGTTTGAGACCAGCCTGGTCTACAGATGGAGTTCCAGTATAGCCAGGGCTACAGAGATACACAGAGAAACCCTGTCTTGAAAACCATAAAATTAAAATAAAATAAAATAAAATAAAATATAAAATAAAATAAAATATAAAGTAAAATAAAACAAAGTAAAATAAAATGAGTCTCTTAAAATTCTCACCAACAGTTTAATCCAAAAAAACAAAGAAACCAGCAAACAAACAAACAAACAAAATCTTATTTGCTACCTGTACCTTATACATTCTGCAACTTAAATTTCATATAAGAATAGAATATAAAATCCAGCCAACATGGGAACCATTTGTCTTCATAAAAGCCAACTAATATAGGAATGATTTGTCTTCAGGACCTCTTTGAGTTTAAATTTACTATCCAATAACCTGAGCATTCACTCTTTCAAGAGAAATAATCCTTATGATATTTCTAGGAATTTTAAAAAAAAAAACATTAGAGCTAAAGGGAGAGCTATTTTTCAAACATTTATAGAGTAAATTTGATCTTCCCACCTAGAGTCTCCATGACCACTTGCAGCTCTCTTACCATGGCTGTCTTCACAATTCTTGATTTATATCCATCTTCCAGTGTAAGCATCTCCATTACCTGAAGCTCTGCTGATGTGCAGTCAGTAAGAATTGTTATTGTCATATAACATTTATAAACTAAGAGAGAAAGTGATTTCCAAATCTTTCTTTAAAATTCTCTGCAATGAGTGGCTTTGAATGCCTAGCTTCTTTCATTCCTGGTCTAATGCCTACTATTTTGTTCTTTTTCTACCTTTTACCTTATATTGTAATACAGAGTTATACTCAGATACTTTTATTTATAATATTATGGATAAAGTCAACTTCCTATTCTGAAAAGTTTTATCTGTTCCTACAAAAAACAACAATCACCAACAAACTGAAAACTGTAATTAACTGAGAATAATACACACACATACACACACACACACACACACACACACGTACCACAGAGAAAAGAAACAATCTTTTTTTTTTAATGGAACTATTGCTGTGAAGTTGTAATTCCTCAAATAAAAAACAATAACATGAATTAAGAATACATATATCTAGAAGCAGTTGACTTGAAATCAGGAAAAATTAGGAACCTTCAGCCTATTTGATTGTCAATACATCACTGTCCTTTCTCGACATCAATTTTTAGTTCACACAGTAAGTGAATTTAAGCACTCTAATAAGATAGATTGATAGATTTGTTTCCCAATAGAAGCAGAAAGCACAGAGTGCAGCTGCAAACTGTGATGTTTCTGACAGTTTTTATGAGTAGTTTAATAATTTATTTACTTGCTGTGTAGCAATCCACTGTCTATATGTACAACATTTTCTGCATCCATTTTTCTGTTGAGGGACATCTGAATTGTTTCCAGCTTCTGGCTATTATAAATAAAGGTGCTATGAAAATAGTGGAACATGTGTCCCATATGTTGAAACATCTTTTGGGTATATGCCCAGGAATGGTATGGCTGGATCCTCAGTTAATACTATGTCCAATTTTCTGAGGAACCGGGAGACTGATTTTCAGAGCCAGCAATCAGGCTGAACTCATGGAACCTGGTGAGGAAGTGGGCAGAAGGACTGGAGGAGCAGAGGGGGATTGTAACCCCATTGAAAGAACAATATAGGCTGGCCTGACAACCCGGTTCTCCCAGAGACTAGACCACCAACTAAGGAGTGTACCAAAAGGGATCTTTGTCTCCTGATACATGTGTAGCAGAGCCTTGCTCCACAGCAACAGGAAGGGAGGTCCTTGGTCCTAGGGAGAGTTGATGCCCCAGAGTAGGGGGATGCTGGAGCGGTGGACCAAGAGTATGTGGATGGGGGGAGCTCTCAGACCGACAAAAGACAGGGGAGAGCAGATGTCTGATGGTGTTGGGGTAGTAGGTAACCGGTAAGTGGGATATCATGGGATGGGGAGTGGGTAGAGGGTGTAACTGGGTAATAGGATATCATTTGAGATGTAAATGGGGAGTATGATTAATAATAATAAAAGAAAACAATTTTTAAAAAAAGAATTTATTTTCAGTAAAGTGGAGGACACATAGAAAGGAGAAAAGGCACTGTTCTGACTTACATCCCCAAAGACACATTATGAGTGAAAATGTAAAAAACCCTACAATCAATGATAAATGATCAGACTTGTACTAGTCTCCTTAATCAATTACAGAACCATTCTAATTTTCAGAAAAAAAATAGAACTTCAAAATGACAATAAAAATCCAAATATCTTTTTTTATATATTAGGCATAATTCAACAACTGACAAAAATCATTAATAATCTTGAAAATGGTAAACAAAAGAAAGATACTTTAAAACTATGGGAAATGAATTTTAAAATATTAAATATTTTATTTTTTGAACATGTATAAAATAAGGGTGGCATTAACCAAGATACAATGCATCTATATTCCAAGGTATCCTGTGGTAAATTGTAAATACTAAATTTAAAAACAGAATAATGCCTAAGAAGGAAAAATAGAATAAAATATCACTAGAAAAAAATAGAATAAAATGCTGAAAAGCATTTTAAGCAAATACAAAATATCAGCATGCCTCCTAGCCACAGGCAGATACATGTTGTCTCCTTTCAAAATTTCCATCTGCTTAGAGTTTTTCTCAGAGCCATTTTTACATTTTTGTTCCTTAAACTGTAGATTAAGGGATTAATCATGGGAACAACATTCGTATAAAATACAGAAGAGGTTTTTCCTTGATCCATAGATGAAGAAGAAGATGGTTTGAGATACATAAATGCACCTGATCCAAAGAACAGACAAACTGCAATTATATGGGAACTGCAGGTGCTGAAGGCCTTGGACCTGCCTTCATTGGACTTGATGTGGAAGATGCTGGAGAGGATGAAACCATAAGAGATGAAGATAGTGATGCTGGGTACAATGATGTTGATACCCACAACAATGAAAACTACGAGCTCATTGAAATAGGTGCTGGTGCAGGAGAGCTGCATCACAGGGAGAATGTCACAGAAGTAGTGGTTGATGGTGTTAGCATCACAGAAGGTCAGTCTTAGCATACATCCTGTGTGAGCCATGGCACCAGAAAATGCCATTGCATATGTACCAAGCATAAGGTTCAAACACAATTTAGGGGACATGGCAACAGTGTACAAGAGTGGATTACAGATGGCCACATATCGATCATAAGCCATTGAAGTCAACACATAACACTCAGAAATGACAAAAAAGCAAAAGAAATAGAGCTGGGTCATGCATCCCATATAAGAAATTGCATTTCTGCTCAACATAAAGTTCATCAGCATTTTGGGAGTGAACACAGTAGAGTAGCAGAGGTCTATGAAGGACAAGTTGAAGAGGAAAAAGTACATAGGAGTGTGAAGATGTGAATTTAACACAATAAGAATTATCAAACACAAATTTCCCATTGCAGTCACAATATACATTATTAGAAACACAAAGAACAGGGGTATTTGGAGATCACGCTGGTTTGTTAAACCTACCAGAATGAATTGAGTCACCGAAGAGACATTTGCAGAGGCCATGTTTCTCTAAGAGAATCTGCAGACACAGGAAAATGTTCTCATTAGAAAATGTTCTCTTCCTGTCAGGGTTCTTTCCCCACCAGTGAAGTTTGTGTTGAATATGCGTGAGACTAGCCCCACCTGAGCATATAAATCAAAGTGTACAGTGCATCATCAAATTATCATATACAGAGGACAGTGATAAAAATGTAAATATAATTTCTAGAAAGGAAGTTAAGTGAAAATAGATGAGGACAGAAATATTTTCCTTGCATTTATTTATTCTTTCAATAGAGTCCTCTCCACACATATAAAACTGGAGGTTGAGGCCTTGGCCACTCATTGGTGGCCATATATATCAATTTATTTCTGGTATAGCTATGAATAAGGCTAGGGATTTTGGCATAAGATCAAATGTCATGTTGAAGTCTGTTTCATATTAAGAAGAATGTTCATACATGTGGGATTCAGAAAATAAACATATCAGCAAAAATGCAGAGATTTCTTACCTTTGCTCTTCAGTATATGTAGAAGAGAAAATTTGGATTCCAAAGCTTTTGTTGCTTTTATTATATTAAGAAAGAGTAAAGACTTAATTCCTGATATACTTTAAAAATACTTCTGAACTACAGGTAATATTTTGCTATTAGAATTTGGAGTGTTCTCCAACAGCAGAGGAAACTAACTATTATGATCCTCACACTGCCACTAGAGAAGGCAAAGTTTTTATTGTGACTTAAATGGCTCAACCTACTTGCTTATAAATGGAGTAGAAGTAGACTTACTCCATTCTCAAGAGGATGGCATGTAAATATAAGAAGGAACTGAGGTGATTGTATTTACAACTTGGATAATGATATGCCTTTAGTTCCCTTGGGACTTAAAATTTTTTGCAAGTTTCTCTTTAGGGAAAATATACCTTCTTGTGAATATGGAAATGTAAACTCCCAACGTCTCCAATTATCTTGATTTCTATAGACGGATCTCCTGTTTGTTTTGCTGTTTCTTTTTTTTATCGTAATTAAGAATTTCCATCTGAATGTACTCTGAGCTTCCTAATTAATTTTTCTAAAAAATTTTTAATGATTTGATAAATGACTTCAAGTTCTGCAGACCATAGAATACCAGGTATAGATAAAGATAGGTCGGTAGATTGATTGATTGATCGACCTATCTATAGATAGATGATAGATGATGATGATGATGAAGATAGATAGATAGGAGATAGACAGATAGATAGGAGATAGATAGATAGATAGATGATAGATAGATGATAGATAGATAGATAGAGGTAGAGGTAGAGGTAGTGATGATAGAGATATTATTTGAACAATTTTAAAGGATCAAAATTTTTTGTATAGTTGTTATTCTAAACACCCACTGGATACTTCTGAGAACTTCAGTCAGTAATTGTGGTTTAAATTTCATGCTTTTAACACTATCCTTTAGAAGAAAATATTTTTATCTTATAACGTCCAATTTAAGTAATTTCCTCTTATAAATCTGTCTTTTAATTCTTTCCTAATTTTTGCCTAACCCTAAATCACAAATTTTTCTCTATTATTATCTTCAATAAGCCTTAAATTTTAGTGTTGCAGTTACATAGAAACTCACTGTGTGAAATTTTTTTTAATATGTGAATCAGGTATTTATATTGGTACTCTTTCTGGTTTTTATAAGAAATTATATTTATTCAATTTTCCTTTGAAAATCTTGTTATTTATACATAACTTTTGAAATCAATTGACTTAGTATGTGAGAGTTGATTCATATACTATGTTGTTCAGTTCAAATATTCTGCTGGGCAGTGTGCCCCATGTCTTTAATTTTTCCACTCTGGAGGAAAAGGCAAGCAGATTCTGAGTTTGATTCCAGCCTGGTCTATTCCTGGAGTTCCAGGAGCTAGGCAATGTTACTAACTGTATATTACCATGCTCATTGAACACTGAACACAATGTATTCCTAAATGTATACGCTTAGTGACTAAAATAATGCATGGAAATCATTGTACTTATAGACTTATTCAAAAGCATATCAAGAGCATAGAATATTTCCACAAATATTATGAATATTTCCACAGTTATGAATATTTCCACAAACTTTTTAGGAGATCAGTTTAGATAAGGAATGTTATACCCCTCTTAGCAACATTTTTTTCTTGCAAGGAACATTTTGTTAGGACAGTTAATTATTAGGTATTATTACAAAGAAAAGGAAAACCATAAGTTCTTTTGTTTATTTTTTAAATTTACATGAAATCATGTTTTTATTAGGGTGACTGTCTGAATGTCAGATCTATACTCTTTTCATAAAATGAGTTTATATAGAATATTATGTATGCCAGAAAGTTCCTTTACAAATCTCTCCTCCCATTGACCCCTTCCCTTCTACTTAGAGAAGGGAAGCCCTCTTGTGTACCACCCCATTGGGTAGCATCTAGTCCTAGCAAGTCTCGGCACATCCTCTCCCACTGAGGCTCAACCAGATCTTCAAGAAGAGGAGGAAGGGATCCAATGTTTGGGAACAGAGAAAGAAACAGCCTCTGTTCCACTTGTTAAGGGAACCACATGAACACAGCACATTTGCTAAACATGTGTAGGTTTACTAGGTCCAGCTCCTTCATGCTCCCTGATTGGTGGCTCTGTGTATTCTGTGATTGCAGTATATTTTTTTGCTCAGTGCTTCAGCAGTTACTTTTCTCATTGCTGTGACAAAATTCCCAACGGGAACCACTTAATAAAACAGGATGTAGACATATATTGGCTTACAGACTAACGTAAAAAGAATCATGATGAGGTTTCAAGGTGGCAAAAGTGATAAGCAGCTTGCCACACTGTGTCCACAATCAAGAAAAAATAGATAACTGCTGCTCACCTTACTTCTTTTTCAACTTATTTTTCTCCTATATATTATATTCCAATTGCAGTTCCTCCTCCCTCCTCTCCTATTCCCTCCTCCACACATCTTCTCGTTGTAAAATCTACTTCTCCATTTCCCTTCAGAAAAGCATAGACCTCCCATGGTTATCAACCGTACATGATAAATCAGGTTACATTAAGACTAGGCACACCTCTTCTATTAAGGCTAGATGAGGAAAACTGGTAGGAGGAAAAGGATCCCAAAAGCAGGCAAAAGAGTCAGGAAAAACTCCTCCTCCCACTATTAGAAGTCTCATAGGAACATCAAATTACACAACTATGTTATATATGCAGAGAACCTAGGTCATACCCAGAGAGAATCCCTGTTTTGTCGGTTCATTCTCAGTCATCTCCTATGATCCCTGGTTAGCTGATTCTGTGGGTAGATTTCTTGTGGTGACCTTGATATCTCTTTACTCATTCAATACTTCTTCCCTCTTTTCCATAGGATTCTCCAAGTTTTGTCTAATGTTTGAGTCTCTGCATCTGCTCCTGCTCCTATACATTGCTAGATAAAGCCACTCTGAGGACCATTATGCTAGAATCTGGTCTATAAGAGTATTGTTAAGAATCATTTCATTGTCTGGAATGACATCCCTTGGAATAGTGCAAACTACAGTCAGAAAGCATCTTTCCACCTCTATGAATTTAATCTAGATATTCCTGGAAAGTATGACCAGGAGACTGTCTCTCAACAAATGTAGCCTGTCTTACTTTTCCAATAAAACAAACTTCATCACTCAGAACAATACTCATGCTTTATCATATTGGGGGCAAAGGACAGTGTGAGATTAATAGAGCAAGGGAAATATTTGCCATGCTCTCCAGAAGCAAGTTAAGATTCAGGAAGTAATGTGATTTTCAAAACACCTTCCCTGTTTCTAGGAGAGAAGGCCTCTAACTCATTGTCTTACTGGCTTCTAGTTTAATGCCTGACCTTGGCACTGATTCTCTCCAATATCCTCTTTTCTTGAACTGAAGGACCATTAAGACATTCAAATTATTTTCCTTTTTTATTTTGTAGTTGAAGTTAATACCCTATTGCAAAAGCCTGGACAGTTATAACAAAAAAAAATAATAATCCAAAATAAAGTAACTGTTGGGAAGTGGTGATGCATGCCTTCAATCCCAGCACTTGGGAGGCAGAGGCAGGTGGATTTCTGAGGCAGATTTCTGAGTTCAAGGCCAGCGTAGTCTACAGAGTAAGTTCCAGAACAGCTAGGACTACACAGAGAAACCCTGTCTTGAAAAACCAGAAAAAAAAAGCCAAAATAAAGTAATCACTGCAACAATCCTAGACACGTGTCCCATAAAAACAAACTGTAAGCCAGTATTTTTTTTTTTAAAAAAGCCATAAT